GCAGCAGACGTTATCGAACCTGGCAGATTGTCACGTTCAATTACGGCTATACTTGAGACGTTTCAATACGGAGGCTTTATTGGCTGCCTCTTTGTGTTAGATACCTATTTCTCTTGGCCCAGAAAGGGCTTGCTACCCTACATAGCCGAAGGAGTGTTTGTTTCCTTTCGAAGCCGACAAGGTTTTAAGGTCCCAAGGCTTAACCTGATAGTACCAAATTCGTGCGGATTCACAACCATCTTTCCTACTAGTGGAAAAATAAATGTAATAAGCTTATACGAATTACCAGTTAATTCCTCCAAATAATAAATATGTATTTTTTCACAACTTTAACCTTTTTAATGTTATGCCATGTAACTGATTGAAATTAAAACCGGTAGATAATGTACGTGTAATGTGTGTGTATATGGAAAAAGAATTATCAGGGCCGGTTCAAGCATTCTCAGGAAATCGGTGAACATACATAGATAAAAAAATGGTGGTCGAATTGATAACCTCCTCTTTTGAAGTGGGCTAAAAACCGTGACTTTGGTTCCTTAAATAGAACATTATATTATTTAAAAATAATTTTCATTTTCTACATAAATGAAGTCGGGGGTAAAAAGTGTTATGCCAAAGTAAATATTCCACGCGGACAAAGAAACGCTAGTAAAAACATAAAATGCCTACAATTTCGCTAAGACCCCAACTTATGGAAGCCTGGGAGACGAGATGGGCAACAATGGAATTCGCGATGTCAACATTGAACAATATTTCCTATCTATCGACAGAGAAGGCAATGGCAGTTTACCTTAGCAAAAAAAAAAAAAAGAAATAGATGTATGTGGATTTATGAATTCATCTAAGTCACNAAAAAAAAAAAAAAGAAATAGATGTATGTGGATTTATGAATTCATCTAAGTCACCGGTAATTAATTATAATTAAGGAAAACATTACATGCATCAATTTGCGTAAGTCATTGAAACGGCATGAATGAGAAACCGCAAAACGTGTGCGACCAGGTCGCGGGCTCACAACCGACAGTCGTCGCATGCGGCCGTACAGTACCCATGAGTATTTGTGTAAATAAACTCTTTGTCTTCATGAATTTATCGAAACTAATGGTCCCTCAGTAGTCGAAATTCAACTACATATAATAATTAATTGAAATTATAAGTTTGTACACTATTATGATAATTTTTTCAAAGACTATTAAGTATACTTCTATAATCACAAATTTCGCCAAGACTACACTACAGAAAAACAATATTTAATCTATTTTTCACTGGTGGTAGGACCTCTTGTGAGTCCGCACGGGTAGGTACCACCAACCCGCCTATTTCTGCCGTGAAGCAGTAATGCGTTTCGGTTTGAAGGGTGGGGTAGCCGTTGTAACTATACTGAGACCTTAGAACTTATATTTCAAGGTGGGTGGCGCATTTACATTGTAGATGTCTATGGGCTCCAGTAACCACTTAACACCATATGGGCTGCGAGCTTGTCCACCCAACTACGCAATAAAAAAAAAAATATATATATAAGAATATATATATATATTCTCAATTTGACCACAGACGTCAAGGACAAAAGCTTGACAAAAAATAAATAGTATGCATGCGTGTGTGCGTCAAATACATGGTACGTAGTGTGTATAATATTTTTTTTATTGATTTAATGTACTTTTTAGGCATAATTTAAAAAAATATTAGCATTCTGCACTCCTTCTCTATATTGTCTATAAGTCTGGGAAATTTCATATTCCTCCGTCCGCGTAATTTTCGTAAAAAGAAATACAAAGTTTGTCCTTCACGTATTAATATATAGATGAGCAGTATTGTCTGTAAAGTCCTGCCTATTGTTGCCGACGATGTAGAAAGTTATCGTTTGAATGAGCCCAAAGCTGACGATCAGGGCAGCTGTTGTTCCTTTTACAACTACTTCCTGTACAGCGTTTAACTCCTCAATGTCAACTCAATCAGAATATTATAATGTTCACCATCTCTTAAACTAATTTTCTATCAATTATGCCCCGATATAACCCCGTCAATTATATGTGGCAAAACAAACCGCAATAACATATTGAACACCATAGATATCTCTACATGGGCATCCTGACCATAGACCATTAAGGGGGCCGGCAATGGACGTACTCCGCCGCATAAGGCCGACCTATTGTCTTTATGTTAAAGAATGTCTTAAATAAATCGGCAGCTCGTTGTCTCGGTGACTCAATACGAACAAAAGGCGGTTGTGATTAATTTCATAAATACTACTATATGCCGTGATGTAATTCTATAAAATTCTTATTCATTTTTACACTATCACCCAGTCGGAGCTGGCACGCGGTCAATTAATTTATAATAATTACGTTACGAATACAGACAATTATTATTATAACTCATATTAACTAATATTGAACAGTTTGCATTCTAATTATAAAATTTAGAATTATTAATAAAAACAATTTTATTAAGGTCTGTACAGTCACATCATTAAGAATACAATAAATACATTGCGTACAATATTGTGACCAGTCGGGTTTCAGCAATGAAGGAGAGATCAATCGAAGCTGATATGACACTTCGAGTTGTTCGCAAGCCTGGTTATGCGAAGACTCGTAGGCTCTAAAACTCTATAACGTAAGAAATGTCCACCGGCAAGAGAAGAACTTCCATAGAATTTGTGGCACGTCACACCGCTGTCACATGTCATTCGGTTATATTGTGTTTTTAAGCCGTTGATAAAAACGGACAGATTGCTGCAGATCTATTGGCAAGTGGTATTGGTCGGTAAACTCCAACGGCGCACGAGAATAGTCCGGCCACTGCCTACTTGACAGTTGAAGCGTATGCCTTTAGACACAAGATTACGAGCTAGTAATTTCCGACTGATAATCATGGCGCTTACCGTTGATGATAACAAAAATAAAAATAAAATATTAAGTCGTAGACCTACCGTTTTAAGGCACCCACGGCGGTGAGGCGGTGCGCGGTTTGATAGCGAAAAGCTTCTATCAACACGCTATCAAGCGAACTATAGTTACAGCAAGGAGCCGGGTACAGCGGGCGATCGCTCCTGGAACACTGGTGGCTGGTGTCCTAGCCACCCTGACTAAAGTCAATATTTTTGGATATTGTATTTTATCTTATTTTAAAGCTTCCTAGTAAATATGGTCGTACAAAGGTAGTATATTCGCGTTGTGCATGTGTATGAGCATGTGTTTGTGTTGTAAGAACTCCGGTAACCAATTTATATCAGGGGGGCCACAACCTCGTTCACTCACAGACAAATTACATACATCCTCGGTTCGAAAATAGTTAAAGCAAATCTTCCTATAATCCAAACACCTTTCTTCAGGATCAAGCATCTTCTTTTAACCTTTTTTTTCCACAGGAGAATACTCCGGATCTCCACCTGCACGGCGGTTGGGGTATGTGGGAGTCGAACCTCACTAAAAACTCCTGTCGCTCTTAGCTGGCGCCCTACCCTGGACCGGCCCGAGCCCAGTCGGAGCTATCGAGACGGCGGGACAGGGCTTACGCAGAGCATATTACATCCATCCCGCCGTCCCCCAGACGCCGGACCCGCGGCCGCCGGTTCCCTCAGCGTTGGGCCAAGAGCCCGTATTGATGGCGTCGCGCTACACCTTCCCCGGATTAGTCGGGGAAACACGGCACCATCGATATCTTCTTTTAAGCTTATCTTTTCCTGATGATGCTTAAAATGTACATCAGACCGTCTGGTTCTGAAATAGGGGACTACAACCAAAGCACAACAACTGTAATATCTTATCGTTGGACCACATAGTTATATTGGAACAGCAATTTGATAATTAGAAACCGTCCCGCGGTGCTCCAGATAAAACACCCAAATTAGTGTTGTTGATAGGGCGTTTGTGTTGTGCTCTGCACTTGTTATCTGTATGCGACATTTCATTACAACTTCACAGACAACGACCTTTGCTCCTCAAGATAGAGTTACGCAGCGGTGACATTGCGAAAGGCTGAGCGAAATGTACTCGTATGTACTCTGCGTTAGAAAACTTCTCCTAAGCAGATGCACTTCGAAAAACTTTAAGAGTTGAGTGACAAATGCGCATACCGAATAATATAAAATAAGAGATTTTTTTAAGAGGCTACTGAAAACATTTATCGTTCTGTTTACCGTACATAGATTGATAGCATCGTCCTAAGTATTTCGATCGCGGGGGATTAAAATTGCTCAAAACATCTTAAGGCAATTTCAATCACACCATAAAAAGGCACGCAATTTTTCATGAAATTTAGTGTATGCCAAATTACAAAAGTGCTCCCATGTACGCTGATATTCCTAAAGCCAGTAGAAATCACAAAGTATATGGCACCCTAATCCGAGACATGAACTCCATTTTAATAATGGCTCTCGTTTTTTTTTCCTTCCGGTGCTGATAGCCTTGAGAGGCTATTTCAGCTTCTCCTTGACTTGTAGGTGAGCTCACGGGGCCCAAACCGGGAGTGTTGCTAGCACTGGCCCTAGTAAGAGCAGTGCTTCGCAGAATCTACCACCAGATCGGAAACGCGACCCACTGAGAAGATCCGGCGAGAAACTCAGTGAGTTGTGTTTACGGGTTAATTTACTCGTCGAGCCCTTCGTCGCAAGCGACGGGTACGGCGATGATGGTGACCGGTGCTTGAGGTACCTAAAAGTACCGAGGATCCGAAATGACGTGCTTAGGGCACGGCTCTCGTGCTCGTCCAACAGCTTTCGACAACAATAGACTAGGAGGTGGATACTAATGAAATAATGTTGGTTGGATGGACGTATTGCTATGAAAAAGTTAGATCTTATTCCATAATTTCAATGACCAGGTCCTGTCAAATCAATTTTCATCATACAAAATAGAAGAGATGCACGATCTTTGATTAGAATTCATGTAAGACAATCACAATCAAACTTTTCTATGAAAATTTAAGATCACAGTCGCTTCCGTGGACTATGAAAATAATAGTAAAGTTTTCCCCGTGAGCTCCGCCAGTTCTCGGTCGGTAGCCGCCGCACGCGAACGCTAGGCGCGGAGTTCAGTGCCGGGATTCATAATAAATAAAACAAGTGATTCAGATTATTTTTTTACTTTATGATTTTGTGATCTTTTATTTTGTAAGTACTTTTGGTCGATTTTTAAAATCTGAAAGCTTTAATTTTTAAAACATATTTATTTAGATGTTTGAGCTTAAAGCTGTGTTTTATTGGTAAAGTCATTGTTAACACTAACTGCTATTTAATTTGGGATGTAAAATAAATTATAAAAAGTAATAAAATAAAAAATAAAATTATATAATAAAATAATAATTATTATATAATAAAATAAAATTATAACAATTATAAAAAAAAATTAATAGTTCATACACTGTTTGTTCATTGGAGAACATTATAAACTTAATATTCACACTAATACTATTTACTGAAAGCACATAATATAATTATTAAGATCTAAAAATAAATAGCAAGTGTTAAAAAAGTTTACAAATATGTGATAATGTTGATGGAAAAAGAAAACTATGTTATCTATAGACTCCCACCGCGCTCCTCTTCATAGATAACATAGGTACCTTTAAATATTATAGTTACCTTCGGAATCAGTCACAAAACAGCTGCCATCAACTATTTATATTCAAGATATGTCGAATATAGTTCACCACTTTCTCTAATTTCAATATAACATGCGTCCTATTTTCGAATCGATTTGAATTTCACGTCACTACTGATTTCGAACTACCAGTTTTATTACTATCTGTGGATTGGAATATTTATTTTTTATTGCTTAGATGGGTGGACGAGCTCACAGCCCACCTGTTGTTAAGTGGTTACTAGAGCCCATAGACATCTACAACGTAAATGCGCCACCCACCTTGAGATATAAGTTCTAAGATCTCAGTATAGTTACAACGGCTGCCCCACCCTTCAAACCGATCGTTATTAAATCTTTATTATCCAAATCTTTATTAAATGCAACCAGTATGTAGCCATATCATCAATATCTGAATATTGTCAAAGTCCCAAAGTTCGAAATTTTTTAGATTCCGCTATAAATATTCATTTCGCTTTGAAGGATGGGACGGGACGCCGGGTTGATAATCCAATGGGAGTATCATGCTACAATGTAGTCTACGGCTATGAAGTTATAGCGTCTGCGCGCTCTGATAACCACTTAACATCAAAAAGACCTGAGCTCGTCTAACCCTCAAATGAAATAAATAAAAATCAGATAAATTTTTTGGTATTCATAGTTGAATGAAGTTGATATCAAATTTACTTTCTACGACAATGAGAATCACATTGACGTCAATAAAGTTATAAACAAACGCCCTATTCAATGTTTTTAATTAAGTAAATACACGTTTGCAGCAGTTATTTGTTGCCTTCAGTTCGCCAAATATCTAAAATTCTAAGGACCAAATTTAAAACATTACGATAATTGAGTACGACTCACTGTACGTTGTGGGAGCAAATTTCATAGATGTCTAATGCAAAAATATACTATATAGAAATGAATAACGCCGGCAAAAAACTGAACTGCGCTATTAAAAGTTTCAAGATAAGCTTAATGTCACAGGTCTATAGAGTAACGAAGGACATATCGTTATTTCGTTCGGGGATACACGAATTTACGCAATTTCAACAAAGTTACAAGGCAGTGACCCTTCGTCAACATGCATGCTACTCACATTACATTATTTAAAATTATTTATTTATTTATTTATTTATTTATTTATTTATTTATTTAAGGATTACCGACAGGGTTTACAGTAAGACATAAAATAACATTGACATGTATAGAGCAATTGATAACTGCAACTCTAATTATAGGCAATCACAGCATGCATTACATTAATATATTAATAGAGATTTAATAATACTATTAATAATAATAAAAAATTAAAAACAAAAGAAAGACAACAAGGGCAGTAATACCCAAGTACTCAGACCAAGGCTGAGGCTGAGGTTCAACAACAACTTTTTATAATTTTGTTCTTAAATATTGGAAGGGAATCGCCAAATATGTCAAGGTTTTCAACTTTTCTAACTAGATTATTATAAAGGTTAGTTAGACGAGGAGTAGGTGAGTGCTTGCCTAGATTGGTTCTGCTAAAGCTAAAAAATTAAAACTTAGTACGCCACGAGAGCGATACTGTAGACCCTAGAATTTCCTTCTCAACTTCAAAGAAGGAATTTATTTAAACTTTTCTAATTGCAATTGGATCTAATATACTCTATGATATCTGATAATATCTATACGATCATTTTTAAGACAATATTTCTTTAAAAACAATTTTGCAATAAAATATGTACTTGAAATCGAAACCCCCCAAAGGAAAATACAAAAAACTACGCCCCAATTTAATTCAATCTTTAAATAGCAAAAAAATTGATCTGACTTTCTGCGGAGGTTACTTAATAAGAAATTACATAATACTCGCGTTAATGACCCGACTAATGTATTTGTCACGTCAAGGGCACTTAAATATAATTTTACTAAAAATGACTAATGTCCTTATATCGTTTAAATTTATATTAACTCGCAAGCGCGCGCGTTCACAATATCATCAATATATACGCGTTTGGGCTTCCTTTCCTTGCGTCGTACTCCTCATTACTGGGGCTCGTGACTCCCCCACTGCATCAATTTCTCTAGTACAATTGTTCTCCATCTGCTACGATCCTTGGCCTCGTGGAGTCCAAACAAGATCGAAATTAGTCCGACCATCTCGTGGGACTGTGTCCTCAGGGACGTTTGCTCTCCGTCTTGCCAAATGGTGACGCCGTTTGGGCTTAGATTATGTTAATTAGATCAAGAAATTGACAAAAGATACGTCGTGGACGTACTTATTTAGGTATTTCGAATAAGTGATTTAAATGTCAGACCTTATAGTGTAAACTTCAAGTTTTACGAGCAGTTGCGATGATAATTAAGTGTACCTTTTTTTTATAGCTTAGATGGGTGAACGAGCTCACAGCCCACCTGGTACTAAGTGGTTACTAGAGCCCATAGAAATCTACAACGTAAATGCGCCACCCACCTTGAGATACAAGATATAAGGTCTGAGTATCGTTCAACGGCTGTCCCACCCTTCAAACCGAAACGCATTACTGCTTCACGGCAGAAATAGGCAGGGTGGTGGTACCTACCCGTGCGGACTCAAGAGGACCTATCACCAGTAACCAAAAGGACCTACCACCAGTAACAAACCTACTCACATTGTAAACGTGTCGTGGTGAGATCTCAGAGGTGGTACGGTTGTCTTGTCTACGGGCTTCAGGAGCTTAGCACCAAGTGAGCTGAGGGTTGTAAAATGACGACTTTATCATTATCAAGACAAAAGACGCAAGTCACGAAGCTCTGAAATGCACATACAAGGAGTAAAGAAATTTATGAATTAACTATTGCAACTAAATATAAATAGACTATAGAGTTGTTAGGGGCCATTTAATTTCTAAAAGCCACATGCGTCAAGTTGTGGTTTTTTATTTATTTCATGCTCAATACTACATTTACTGTATGTCTTTCTGCTATTTTGCAGTGTGCATTAATCTGCTATTGTAGTAATACCTGTACCATCTTAATATGAAATAACTGATAAAAAAATTAATTATAAGGCTCCGGTTGCAATTGTGACGAGTGCAACTGATATTAGGTGCCTGAATGTTTGTTTTATTAAGTTTTCATCTTCTTTTTCATCTTGCCCTTATCCCAAGTTTTTCTCTAAGACTGTCAACACGTCTGCAAAGTTTCAGAATTTTCGGTCCGAAACGAATGCGAACGAAAATGATAATGAAACAACCGTCCGCGCGTCCACCCGCCCGTGTGTCCAGCTCGAGATACATTTGAATCATGTAGTACATAATAAGTGTACATGTGTCGCAATAATTGTCCTCCTATAATCGGAAATTATATCCCCCTCTAACACTTAATGACCATTTTGCATGACAAAGTTGTAATAATGCAGACTGAAATCCTTGGTAACACAATCTTCTTGTAATTTCGTAAACATTGCGCAACCGAAGCGCATTAGTACAGACAATTTTCAAACAGATAAAACGTACTGTCGGAAATAGCTTCTGCGACTTTCATTAAATACTAGCGACCCGTCCTCGCTTCGCTTCGGAAACTGTAATTTATTATTGATTTCTCCACTATTTAATGGATGTTATTATACATATAAACCTTCCTCTTCAATCACTCTATCTATTAAATCGTATCAAAATCCGTTGCGTAGTTTTAAAGATTTAAGCATACATAGGGATATAGGGACAGAGAAAGCGACTTTGTTTTATACTATGTAGTGATGTTCGCTATAAGTACTTTATCACAGCGATTTTAGGCAGTGAATATCACATAAAATTCGATATGATATTAATTTCAACGCTTTATAAAATTACAGTACATTACACACAAGACACTGTTCCGTAAATTTACTTTCACTTCTTGACGGTAAGCATGTGTGGATGGGCTTTAGATTTATCTGTAGCCTTAAGAGAAAACGATTTGAGAATATGCACCAAACAAAATGACATTATTTTTCACAGCGCACTGCATTAACTCTGCTGGGTCAGTATAACTGAGAGCGTGTAAAAAATTGCGTTTTGTTCTCACTTTTGTTTTTCAAATATTTCAAACAAAAAAGTTCAAATATTATACGAATTAGTAATGATGGCCGTTTTTTTTGCTGATTTCAATAGAAAGGGTAGATGAGAATTTGACTGTGAAATTTTCACAAGTAGGTCTACAAACATACATAATTGGTAGTATCTCTCCTCCTATGATAGAACAAATATATTATTATTTTGAATATTCGATGTGCGTAAAGAGCCCAACCTCTGACCCTAGTAACGGAGAAAATTTTTTTGAAGGTCTGCAAAAACATAGCGCTGTCTCTAAAACGCCACCTTAATGATTGAACTCTGCCAAGTAAAACACAAAATGCTTGTGATATCTTATCTGAGACTTCGTACCGTGATCGCAGGAGCACATGTGGGTGTGCTGAACCTTGACATACAAGATAATTCCGTAGTCGTGAAACACATGTAAATAGTGAAGTGAAGCTTTCAAATGATTTCCCTGGTCTTTCCCCAGGGTACCAATAATGTCCTACTTTAATTGAGTATTTGACTCTACGCAGCCCCACAGCAGCTGTTTTTATATTCTGATGTAAGCCCGTCCGGTGGATACCAGCAATAGCAGCTAGCCTACCTACCCATTCTAACCAGGGCCATCTAGGCGGGCTCTGGACCGAGAGCGGTCGGCAGGCTGGTGGTCGTGGTCCGGCGTCCCGAGGGGGAGGGTGATGGGAGAGATGTGCTCCGCACTAAACGCTTCACTTTCCCCCCTTTGCCTTTTCATGAGCTCTGTCTCATGCGAGGTTTGAACGTTGGTTGTTGGCGACAGGAGGTTTTAGTCAGTTCGACTCAGACATGCCCCGCCCTCCGTCCTCAATGGAGGGCGGAAGTCCGGCGATTTCCTCCTGACCAAAAAAAAAGCCTCCTAGCGTCGGCCGTACAATATTTACGGGCCGTACATTCGGGTTATAAGGGTAGAATCACTGTTATTCCAATGAAATTGATATCTTGATTAAATCTATGTTTTTAACACCGTTATTTGTACTAAACTATTACGCTGATTGAGTTTACCGCCAGATGTGATTAAAAGCAACACTGAATTTTGCCAGACTAGAAAAGACCGATATCTTAATAAGCGGTGGTTGTGGGTGTCATCTACGATATATTTATTATTTACCAATTGCACCAACATATTTTAGCAAGGTGTCACTGACTCGCTGTCTTGTATGTTTGAGTGAAATTATGAGAGTCTTGGAATATTGAACATAGCTGAGAATCAGATGAAAATGCCGCAGAACGCATTACAACCGTCGTTGAACGGATTCGTGCACAAACCGAAATTAAAATTAACATAATGTATAACTATAATGTTATATATAATAATATATATATATATATATAATATTATAATTTATAATATATTATATATTATAAATAATATTATTATATATAATATAATAAAATTAATATATATATATAATATATAATATTAATAATTATAATGTTTTATCGTAGTGACCCTGGTTCAATTAAATTATTAAACCAAATTAATAAATTTATTCTATTTCATCGATCAATCCAAAACATTTATGCAAATTCTCAAGTGAATCGAACCATTTAATTTTTTTTTTCCTAGCTTTGTACAATTAATTTTAATTAAATTTATTTACAAAATCAGGGTAAAATTGTATGCTTATAATCATTTTTCCTTATCAAGTGTGGTGACTATACGTACGAATCTATTCTAGTTCTGTACTTCTCTACATTTAAAGGAAAATGCAAATTATAAAATTGCGTATCAACGTAAATAGTAATATTAAATTTATCTCATTAATATATTTGATTAAAACTTAGACTAAAAATAAGACGTCCGGTGCATTCGTGTTGAAGCGATGCACCGGTGTTCGAATCCCGCAGGCGGGTACCAATTTTTTTAATTAAATACATATGTACTTAACAAATGCTCACGAATAACATCGTGTAGTAAAAATCAAACCCGCATAATTATAATTTGCATAACAACCGGTGGTAGGACGTCTTGTGAGTCCGCACGGATAGGTACCGCCACCCTGCCTATTTCTGCTGTGAAGCAGTAATGCGTTTCGGTTTCAAGGGCGGGGCAGCCGTTATAACTATACTGAGACTTTTAGAACTCATATCTCAGGGTAGATGGCAGCATTTACGTTGTAAATGTATATGGGCTCTGATAATCACTTAACACCAGCCGCGCCGTGAGCGTGTCCACCCGAATAAGCAATAAAATTAAAATTAAAAAAATCGTAAAAAGGCTACATTTGAAAATCATTAATTTCTATAAATGCAATAGTTGCCCATGATCAATGTCACATATGTACACATCGAACACTACCAACAGTGATTACTGGTGCACAGTGTAGTCTCGTGACGTATTAACTGATCCAAAAATAATTAAGCATAGTAGTAGTACATGCAGGATCTCGGGATCCGTCAAGATGTACGTCCACTCTGGTTCGAAGGAGCCGCTATGCACTATAAGGTATTATGATTAAGACGTTGACTGCCATGTATGTCACCGGTGGCCTGCGTGGCACACTGAAGTAATTCTGTCGATTTATGTTACTAAGGCGCCGGAATATTATAATATTTGCATCTCGTTTTTACCATCGCGCCGCCCGCCACCGGAGTAGAGTTCATCCATACTACCTGGAGTCACTGCGGTCATCCACAGTGCGTTTCCAGAGCTCTTTTTTGCCACGTACCATCCGGCTATGGAATGAGCTCCCCTCCACGGTGTTTCCCGAGCGCTATGACATGTCCTTCTTCAAACAAGGCTTGTGGAGAGTATTAAGCGGTAGGCAGCGGCTTGGCTCTGCCTCTGGCATTACTGAAGTCCATGGGCGACGGTAACCACTCACCATCAGGTGGGCCGTATGCTCGTCTGCCTACAAGGGCAATAAAAAATATATATATATATATATATCTGGTAGATTCTGGGAACGATGAATCCGATGATACTGAAAATGAATGTATTTCTAAGAGACCTAAAAGACTACAACATACATTAACAAACAAAAGAAGGCAAAGTTTGGCAATCCAGGCTCCTTAGTAACAAAAATCGACATAGTGACTTCAGTCAAAACAAACAAATAAGCCTGCCGAGTTTGTTTCGCCGGTTTTGCCCTTTTTTGGAACCGGTGGTAGAGTTAACATTGTTATTTATATTTTGACATTCAACAAGTGTGTCTTACTGACATCCAAGTTGAAATAAATGATTTTGAATTTGAGTTTGAGTGCGCCGCGTAGGGCACCGGTGACCTATACGGCAGTCAACGTGTTAAGATTTTGACGACATGTTTCGAAGTTAGTGCTTGTGACCACGGGAGGATCGTGGTAAACAGAACTGCCTTAAAAAAACAATTCATCCTATTGTAATGCAAGCGTTAGAGACATCGCCTTTTTTCCGGTTAAGCACTTCGCCCTATTTTAAGACATTTCTTTATTACAGGATCACGAGTGACGATGTGACTGGCGGTTACACTATACGATCGACTAACGAGACAGCACGCGCCGCCGCCATGGAGAACATCATAGCTCTGGACTTCACTGAGTCTACACCACTAAACTTCTCCCAGTTTGACTTGAGGGCATTGAATCAAACCAACATCACATCAAGCTCAAGTTACATCAGCAGACGGCAGTTATTTGGGATCGTCGTGAAGATCGTGTACGCTATAGGAATAATTGGGAACACTATAGCTATCATCGCTTTGAGGAGAGGAGAGAGGAGGGTCCGCAACAGAAAGCATTTGCTGCTGCTAACCTCGCTGGCGGCTAACGACGTCGTCGCCTTGGTGAGTATCGCTTCTTAGAGATCAAGACGGACCGCATTACCGCCGCCGCCTGCCTTTGCCATTTAGGGTCGAAATATCGATTGTTTGTCGACTGACCTACCTTTACAGCAGGAAAGCATGACTACTACGCGACTACTGAACCGCTGTCAATAAGATGAGAGACGCTCTCGATGGTTGGTTATGAAATAGTTAGGCACACGCGCCTTTTTATTGACATTACATGCAGAGTTAAAGCCCCATCTGATGGTAAGTAATCATAGACGCTCATGGCTTTCAGCAATGCCAAGTCAATGCCCACTACAAAAGTGTACCTAAAAATATATAGCCTTTTAAGCTTGATCTTAAAAACAAACTTTTGTTCCAAAAGTTAGGTAAGAGCTTTTACATGTAAGCATCGTAACTTGGGTTCAAGTCGTAAGTCTAGTATTACGGGCTTGACATATAGGATAATAATCTTGGTAGATTAGTTAAGCAGTTTAACAGCGTGGCATTTTCGTTACGTTATAAAATGCGTTTTTGTAAATCGCTAATTTAATTAAACTAACCAATATATAAATAATATATATTGATAGCAATTATGTTCACGATTGACTTCCACGGTGAAGGAATAGCATCGTGTAATAAAAATCAAACCCGCAAAATTATAATTTGCGTAATCACTGGTGGTAGGACCTCTTGGGAGTCCGCACGGGTAGGTACCACCGCTCCACCTATTTCCGCCGTGAAGCAGTAATGCGTTTCGGTTCGAAGAGTGGGGTAGCCGTTGTGACTATACTTGAGACCTTAGAACTTATATCTCGAGGTGGGTGGCTTTTTTTACTCTGTAGATGTCTATGGGCTCCAGTAACCACTTAACACCAGGTGGGCTGTAAGCTCGTCCACCCATTCAAACATTTAAAAAAATAAAAAATGTATGTTTCACAATTTAATGAGTCCCCTTATTAAGTATGAATACAAACCAAACATTAATATTTGGACCTGAAACTTAATGTTCGGTCAGCATTAGCGCCCTTTCCGAACTTTCGTTTCATTAAACTCACATTTGCTATAGAGACTAACATGAGGTCGAAATCATGAAAAAAAAACAAATAAATCAATTTAACGTTGTTTTATTGTGCGGAGAAAAAGAATGACAAATTCCATTCACCGCTATGGGACTTTTCTATCTCTTTTTTTCTTTTTTATTGCTTAGATTTGTGGACGAGCTCATAGCCCACCTGGTGTTAAGTGGCTACTGGAGCCCATAGATATCTGCAACGTAAATGCGCCACCCACCTGGAGATATAAGTTCTAAGGTCTCAGTGTAGTTATAACGGCTACCCCACCCTTCAAACGGAACCACATTACTGCTTCACGGCAGAAATAGGCAGAGTGGCGGTACCTACCCGTGCGGACTCATAAGAGGTCCTACCACCAGTAATTACACAAATTATAATCTGGAACTCAGCTACCAAATTTTAACTATTACTTTGTTAAATTCTGTACCAGGTCGGCATGATGTGCACGATGGTGGTAACGGAGCAGGTGCCGGGAGTGAGCTCGAAGCAGTGGCTGTGCATGACCAGGGTGGTGCTGCGGATCTTCGGCATCGGCAGCGTGTGCATCGCCGTCACGATGGCGCTCGAGCGATACCTCGCGCTGACGAGACCCTTCTTATATCAAAAGGTAAGCTCTTTGCGTTTATGTGCACCTAGTATTTCATCTTGGTTACCTTACAACACAAAATTATATGTTTTAATTAAGCTTAAATTTTCTGTGGTTTTTCAAGTACCAAAATAATTGTTCATATTTGTGTGCACCATGACGAATGTTTGTCGACAAAGAGGTCGACGTGCAACCTAACCCATGTATCGGCTGACTGAGGTTCTCGCCGGATCTTCTCAGCGGGATGCGATTCCGATCCGATAGTAGATTCATTCGCGAAGCAATTGCTCTTGAGTTGTTAGGTCTCCTTCGGAGGTGCTCGGGCAGCTGTTAGCAAATCCCACCCCTCCTGGCTGAGCCTTTGCTCGCCCACCTGTCCTGGTGAAACTGGAAAGGCATCCGGGCTACCAGTAATCTTTCAATCATAAAAAAAAACGAATGCTTGTTTTTAATGTAATAAACAGGATCGTTTCCTGTTTATTATGAGATTTCCTACGTGATGATGGGCGCCTGGTACGATTTTTCCAGATTTCCAAATCGCTACTAAAACAAAAGGTCAGCTAGCGTTTATTTGAGTTTTCTCTTAAAAGCCGGTCACATAACAAAGAGCGCGGCGTTGGTTTAAAGGATTGTTTTTATTTACCGACACGATAATGGCAGATCGAAGTCGGGCCACAAAATGCATGGAGCCACTATGGCGCTTTTTTGCCGCGCGACACGGTGAAACCGGGATATTGTCGCTGATAAATTACCACATAGAACATCAAAGCAGTATTGTGACGTGTATATTTAATTATTGTTCATTTTATAGAACAATAAGAAGCCGGGAACACCCTCATAAACTTTATGACCATTTAAACATAGATTCGTTTTCACCTGTTGGTTCTTCTATGTTTGTTTACGTAGTATTTCACGAAGCACTGTTTCCTAACAATGCGTGGGTAGAACATAAAAGCGTAAGTCGGACAACTTGTCCAAAATATAAAATTACATTGACACGGTCAAGTCATTTTTATATCTTCATTGAACTCGGCAATTGCAGACATTTTTAGATTAGAGCTGATCTAGAAAGTGCCCAACGGTGTCCCAGGATGGCCTTTAATTAATTATTTATATTAACTGCTCAATTACCTTTTTATTAATTTATGTACCGACAGAAGGATATGGCAGTAGAAAATAATAGAAACAAATCTTTAAGATACAATTATTGGCATTTGTTGCCAGGAGAACATTCATGTCGTGTATTGCGAAAAACTTTCTATCTATGATCATTCATAAACACACTTAACAGAATTACACATGATTATAGTTGTAGGCATTATAGCAGAACAACTAACTTTACTGGTGTTAGGACCTCTTGTGAGTCCGCACGGGTAGGTACCACCACCCCGCCTATTTCTGCCGTGAAGCAGTAATGCTTACTGGTGGTAGGACCTCTTGTGAGTCCGCATGGGTAAGCGCGGTAAGTGCGGTAACCACTTAACACCAGGTGGGCTGTGAGCTCGTCCACACATCGAAGCAATAAAAAAAAATAAAAAAAACCTAAACAAAGCCGTCAGGCGAACTTCCTCGAGAGAATACAGGAATAATAAACAATAACCTCCTCTTACATTTATAGATACAAAGTTATAGCGTTTAATAGTCTTTGCCAACCCTCGGATGTTCCCATCACGAGCGTGCGTCTCTTCCGCCCGCCTGCATCGCCGATTAGTCAAGGTTCCTAGGGCTGTCTTGAAACAGAAAAGGGCCTTACGTTAAATGTAATTTCGAAATACCCATCGTCTAGTCGATCCAGTGGTCCATGGCTGACTGACTAGTGCGGTGGGATGCGGAATGGATTTCCGGTCAAAGTATTCGGCGTATTGTCGTAACTTTTCTTGTCTCATATATGTGTTTCCGGCACCCAGAGAAACATATACCTACACTCTTAGTTTGCCTTCCTCTAGCGGTACGATACGATGCTACGTTCGGTACATTTTCCGCTTTCAAATTTCACCGTACATTAAATGTACCAGAGATAAAATATATATTATAAGAGATCCGTTTTTTATATCAATAAGAGAATTATTTAGTAAATATTTTATTGAAAGGCACATAAACCTTTAATACATATATGTAAAAATAAGAAATATGGTATAGTTTACCAGATGAAGGATGGAGTCTAAGTGGGAAAGTTTCTATAGTTGATTTATGAATGTAGAAGGGCGTCACGGCACTCCTCGTAATAGATCACTAGAAATCAGGGCCACAAAAGTATGCCCAGAAGTCCGTAGTTGTCAAGTACTGTGCGACCACTACACGCGGCAGGCACGTTGGCCATCATATTTCGAAAATAATCGGATCGAGCCTATTCCACCTTTGTAGGCTTTAAATGTAGGTAGATAGTTTGAGCTTTGTCTCATTCGAGATCTGAACGAGGACTGTTAGAGACTGGAGAATTATAGTTGGATTTCAACTCGACACCAACTGCTCCATCCAACGCGTAAGCGGAAGTCCGGCGCTTTCCTCCTGATTCAAAAAAGGCAGAAAGGTAGCACCAAACTATGTTACCGATGCGACTGTGGCATTCTTACGCAGTTGCCTAGAAAAGGTTTCCTTGTGAAACGACTAATGCGTAATTGTATGATTGTTAACCCTATTCAGAGTCTAGTTTATCACTTGGAAGATACATTTAAGTTTTTTTTTTTTTTTTTTTTTTTATTGCCTTTGTAGGCAGACGGGCATACGGCCCACCTGATGGTGAGTGGTTACCGTCGCCCATGGACTTCAGCAATGCCAGGGGCAGAGCCAAGCCGCTGCCTACCGCAAAGTTAACAAGACCCTGTTATTATTGGTGGAAGATCGATCGGATCACTAAAAAAACAAGCTTGAAAAACTTGATTCTGTAAGTTCTGCAATTATAAAAGTAAGTAACTTGTTCCCAATTAATACTTTTCAACTATTTGCTTTACTTTGTTTTCAACAACATAGGATAATATAGATATAATGGAATTTGTTCGTGACCAGGTAAGTGGTTTCACATCTTTTATGATTGATGATGATGGTTGCAGTTTCGAAGCTGTGCACATAGCTCTTTGTGTTTACCTAACTTCTATTATGTTGACAAAATTAGGTGATAATGTGTATTTGTGCCTTTACAACACCTTACAGCAAACTCACGTAAATCTGTAGTTAAGTACGGGTTTGATTTATTTGTTTATCATGCGATAAAATTCGTTTTCTCCATCTTATCGCACTAGGTGGGGTCGCCACAGCAAATTCTTCTCTTCCATTCTCTTTTATCAGCCGTCATCTAAATACTCACTCCTCTCTCTCTCATGTCGTCATTCACACACTCCATCCATGTCCTTTTCGGTCGACCACTTCTCTACGATGAAAATCTGTAGTTATAAAATNATTTATTTGTTTATCATGCGATAAAATTCGTTTTCTCCATCTTATCGCACTAGGTGGGGTCGCCACAGCAAATTCTTCTCTTCCATTCTCTTTTATCAGCCGTCATCTAAATACTCACTCCTCTCTCTCTCATGTCGTCATTCACACACTCCATCCATGTCCTTTTCGGTCGACCACTTCTCTACGATGAAAATCTGTAGTTATAAAATTAACTAAACGTGTTTTAGCCTTATTTTCTAATTGCGCTAAATGTATAAAGGAGCCACGGCCCACCTAGATAAGTATATTCCGTATCTCGTAGCCGTAGCAACGTGATTGCGACTACTCACCGTGCGACACCAGGTTATAATTATTGCCAGAAACCGGAAAACGTTGCGAGCGGATGTTATTAGTTCATCGCGGAAGTCCACCGTGCTAGGTACGTATTTCCTTAACACGTGGTTATTGTCAACGATTTCTGCTGCGAACCAATAATGCATTTCAGTTTGAAGGGTGCGGCCACAGATTAATAAATAGTTACTGTGCGGCGCAGCTACTGTACCTTAAAACTAAAACTTAAAACTCATGTCTCAAGCTGGGTTATACTGTTGAATTCTATAGGCTGAGGTAGCCACTTAAGATCAGGTGGACCGTGACCTCGCCCACCAATCTGAGCACTAAAAAAATAATAAAAAAATACAGTTACATTGAATTGATATTTTGACAATCAAGTAATGGATAACTCATAAGCCACCCGTCGACTCGCTCTAGACTCAATTGAGTTCAACGAGAAATTAACACAAAAACCCTCATAACTTTTTTTTTTTTTTTATTGCTTAGATTGGTGGACGAGCTCACAGCCCACCTGGTGTTAAGTGGTTACTGCAGCCCATAGACATCTACAACGTAAATGCGCCACCCACCTTGAGATATAAGTTCTAAGGTCTCAGTATAGTTACAACGGCTACCCCACCCTTCAAACCGAAACGCATTACTGCTTCACGGCAGAAATAGGCAGGGCGGTGGTACCTACCCGTGCGGACTCACAATAGGTCCTACCACCAGTGATTACGCAAATTATAATTTTGCGGGTTTGATTTTTATTACACGATGTTATTCCTTCACCGTGGAAGTCAATCGTGAACATTTGTTAAGTACGTATTTCATTCGAAAAATTGGTACCCGCCTGCGGGATTCGAACACCGGTGCATCGCAACAACGAATGCACCGGACGTCTTATCCTTTAGGCCACGACGACTATAAAAATTAGAGAGAGAAATTCCGAACTTTAATTTGTCACACAGCTGGCGATTATATCATTATAGATTCACTGGAACTAAACGTCACTATATCTTTATGAAATACTAGCTGACCCGACAGACTTTGTAGTGCCTCAATCGAGAAATAAAAGACCTAAACTTTTGTATAAAATAAACTTAAAACAAACAAAAGAAATCCGTCCGACGGGGGACACATCAAAGGAAACTCAAAATTGTTATTTTTATTTAGTTCCGAGCATTTTTATATTTATCTACCTTTTAAACATTTTCTGGACTTCCACAAATAATACAAGACCAAAATTAACCAAATCGGTCCAGCCGTTCTCGAATTTTAGCGAGAATAACGAACAGCAATTCATCTATATC